GAGAAAACAAAAGTAATGAAAATTTCGAGACAACCAACCCCAGTCACAATAAAGATAGACCAAAAACAACTGGAGAATGTGAAATGTTTTAAATATTTGGGTAGCTTGTTAACAGATGATGGAAGGTGTACCTGTGAAATTAAATCTAGGATTGCCATGGCAAAAGCTGCATTTAGCAAGAAGAAGAATCATTTAAGCAGCAAATTGGACTTAAATTTGAGAAAGAAACTAGTGAAATGCTACGTTTGGACCATTGCTTTGTATGGGGCTGAAACTTGGACACTTAGGGCAGTAGATCAGAAACACCTGGAAAGTTTCGAAATGTGGTGTTGGAGAAAGATGGAGGAGATCAGTTGGACTAATTATGTGAGAACTGAAGAAGTGTTGTTTAGAGTCAGTGAGCAGAGGAATATCCTACACGAAATAAGAAAACGGAAGGCTAATTGGATTGGTCATATCTTATGCGGTAACTGCCTTCTAAAAGAAGTTATTGAAGGAAAGATAGAAGAGCACTAGTTACCAGAAGATGAGGAAGAAGACGTAAGAAAATGCTGGATGTCCTTGGGGACAGAAGAAGATATTTTCATTTGAAGGAGAAAGCTCTAGATCGCACCAAGTGGAGGAACTGTTTTGGAAGAGACTGTGTACCCGTTGTCTTGACAGATTACAGATGAATGAATGAATGTTTTCTGTTAAAAATGTTTTACTGTCAACATACATTACAAGCAGTTTACATTGAGTTACAAACCACTGACCAGATGTGGTCCTTGAGAAAAGAATCGTCACTATTATCATAATTTTCCTGAAATGAAATCATCCTTCTTTAAAGAAAACCATAACAGGAACTTCAGAAGTAGAATTTTATTACAGTATAGTTGGTTGAGGCCCTATGCTACAAACTGGAAGGTCACGGGATCGAATCCCAATGAGGTGAACTTTTCCATTTACCTAATCTTTCCATCCACACTATGGCCCTGGGGCCGACTCAGCCTCTAACAGAAATGAGTACCAGGAATATTCTTGGAATATTCTTCGGGTAAAGGTTGGCCGGCGCTTAACGCTGACAACCTTGCCACCATCTATGAGCTGATTGTCTAGAAAATGTGGGAACCTCAACATCTCACAACCCTATGGGCCTCCACAGCCTGTTGCTTGGATACTTTTACTTTACCCCTCAGGAAGATTCCTGGTACTCGTTTCTGTTAGAGGCTTAGTCGACCCCAGGGCCATAGTGCGTTTGGAAATTTTAGGTCAATTAAAAAAAAAACCTTGCTTAACTTACATAAAAAATTCTTTTACTAACGATTTCATTCCGTTTGTACCCTCGTAAATTAACGTTTTCTGTGTTAAAACATACATTTTCTTCTTCTTAGATAGATTAGCGTTGGGGAAGGAGGGGTGTAATTTTATTTGTCCTGGCCCCAGCTTTTCAGGTGATCACCGTCCGCCAGTGGGAGTAGATATATTCAGGAATCAATAATGGTCCGCTGATCACAACCCAGGATTACGGTTTTCTCGATGAAAAGATGCTTCGTGTCGCCCGCATTTATAGGTTCACGTGTATATAAAGATATATTTAATTGAAGTTAGAATATATCTGAATAAATACTTAAAATATTTGCACTTGTCGCAGTCAAGTAGTTTGCGCCTAATAAGTGTGCAGTGTGTACATTTATGTCATGTTTGTTACGGAACAGTACAACGCAGCCAAAATGGCCTTAAAACGCTTTGCACATTGCAGTTGGATTAGACGGTAGTGGTCTGGTAGAATATCCCGTAGGGCTCAGTAGAGAAGCAGGGATGGCGGAGATCGCGGAGATAGTGCTTCGCCCTTGGCACTGCGGGAGGCATGGAAGGTTGGCAAGTTTAATATGTCAGAGCCGGTAGAGAGAGGAAGGCAGTTGTTATCAGTTGTTATGGTTGTGTTGCTAAGTACGCTAAGTACTGCTTAGTGCGTTGCTGGGATACGAGAGAGGAAGGCAGTTGTTATGGTTGCGTTGCTAAGTACCGCTTAGTGCCGAGTTTGTCGTTTGAGTGCATATCGAGGTAACTAAGTAACAAATTCAGTCAGTTGAAGTAGAACAGAAGGTGTACTTTCCGCAGTGTAGAGAATACGTCTCTCAACGGTACATTTTGCTAAGAGAGTGGAGGAATCGAGGAAATGAAAGATGTCCACGAAGAAACACATATCGAGGGATACTGAATCTTTAGTTTCAGTTTCAATTTCAAGTGGTTTAAATAACAACAATGGAGAATACGAGAAAAGCCCAGATGCAGGTAACTTGCAAATGAACTATATCGAGCTAATTTTACAGTAACATAAGCTGGAGTAGCTAGTATTTAATGCCAGCAAACTTGGTAATCTTACTAATTTCCCTTTACAAGAAAACGTTTATTAATTGGCAGCTGGTCGCTTCCACGACACGTCACGACAGACGTCATGATCGGTCATGATCACGCGGTGTGACGAGCAGGAAGCTCATGTTCGCTCATGTTATCGTGATGATCATGATCTCTGAGAATGGTATAATGCGCAACCTACAACTACACACTGTTATAATATGGCTGAGCAATGGAGTACTGCGCAATGCACAGCATTTTCGGTACCGTTCTGTACTAACATATGCGTGGAATGCGGAGAATTTACCTCGGCATGCTCCTGTAACATCTGTGATAGCGGCTCGTCGTTTTCGTACATCACAAATGGAATGCCAGGCGTATTTTTGTTGCAAATAATTAAACGTGTCGTTTTGCGTTGCAGGTGTGTTTTTGGCACATGATCAATACAGAGTATTTCCTATCCTGCACGTTTCTTGTATGTTGCTTACTTTTCTGTGAGCCGGTGGTACAGCAGTTAAGGCCTTCTGTGTCTTCTTTGTTGAGATAACTGTTCATTTTCTGTTCCAGTGAAGTTCGATATTTACATTGTGTCGTAGTATGCACCAAAATTGTGTGTATAGTGCAGCGTTGAGCAGTTAATGGGCGGTGGTAGAATTTGTATTGAGAGTGGGGCCATTCGCCGTATTTTTAAAATAATTTATGGGGTCAAGAATGCTTGAAATTGGGCCCCAGAGACGGTATCTGCCGTGGGGTTTAGTGACAGATTTCCTGCTCCACAGTGTTCTTCAGCTCTAATTCCTGGAAAGTAATTTTTTCTTAGTACAATGTATTCAGAGCTTCACATGGAAACCCACTGTTGCAAATTGATTTTTGCCTGTAAACAGTTAGTTCACCCACATCATTAAAACTAGTAAGTATTTAAGTTTTAGCAACAGTGTATGTATGCCCATAAAATTCTAACCTTTACCAGGGAATGAATTAGATAAATTGTGTAACCAGACATAACAAAAACAGAATGTTTCTAAGAATTTGCATTCCTTTTTTTGACTTTTCTATATCCATTGGATCAACAGGAATTAAATAAATTAAAAAAAAGTATTATAGTGCATTGGTTTGTGATTAACCGAGAATTGATAATTGGTGTAGAACAGAGTGTGACTTCACAGATATATTTGATAGTTTCAGGGTATGTTACTTAGTTATGTAATTGTTTTCTTTAATCACTTCTAAGATATTTACAATGTGTTTTTTTATTTTTCTTTTATTATGGCTAGTGGGGTGGGACTAAGTCCCATGTACTGTGGCCACTTCTGGCCTAATGTACCAGCCCCAGATGAGAGGTGAGGGTGATTGTGGAGTAATTGGTGGAATGAAGATTGGCGGGGGAAACCGAAGTACTCGGAGAAAACCTGCCCCAGCGCCACTTTGTCCACCACAAATCCCACTTGAGCAGACCCTAGATCGAACCCGGGCTGCCGCGGTGGGAAGCCAGCGACTAACCGCTTAAGCTATGGCGTGGCTCTACAGTGTGGTGTTAGTGAAGAATCAACCCCATTCCATGCCTCTGACGGTTGTTCAAATTCACTGCATGAAAGAGCAAGAGAAGGCCCCTCATTTTTTCAAATTTCCAGAAAGCTAGGCTTTGGGAATGAAAATATATGATGATAATACATTCACTTGCTACTACACAAGTGTCCAGTTCATACCAAGTCTCTTGCACACAGCCTTTCCAATATATGCGATACCCCAACAACATTATCCAATTTGCAACAAACTTTCTGTAGAAGAGAATATTAATGAAGCCCCTCAAGTTGTATAAGGTGATTGATGGTAGATGCAGCTGAAAGTTACGTAGCCAAACGCATGGACTGTACTGTGCAAATGAAGACCTAAGACAAAACTTTCTCACGGAAACAAGAAAAGATATGAATTAAAGTTCATAGAATTGCAAAGAAGCAATTAATGTTTTTTTTTTCAGCAGTAATAATTCTATAGCTCTTAGGGTATACATGTGAGGAAATAATTTATGAAATACCAACTAATGAATTCTGAAGCATCAGTATGTAAAATAAATATACAGTATAAATTAAAATGAATTGAATTGCTTAATTGTGCCAACCTAATTTAACTGAACCACCCACACCAAACCAAGAAGTGTCAGTATGCACACGTAGAAGTTCAATAAACAGTGCTAGCTGTTTTGCTACTTGGTGCCTCCCTAATATAACTTGAAAGCATTACTGCTAATCAGAGTTTCTGTACCATTGCACAATGCGTGATATTTTGACTGTTATATAGTAAGTGATTGCATTGAATGATGTAGCAATAAATCAGTATGTTTTGGTCTTGGATGACCATCTTCAGGTATGTACACTTAAAATAACAAATATATAATGCTTTTGCTGAATATGTAGTTTGAAATGAACCCACTTTTGGTCAGTATAGTTAATGTTTCTTACTTGGTGTTGTAAAATGTGAACTGTACAGTATGTAAAGTTGTAAAAATACATAAAACATGTATGTACAGGTCATGAATATACTGAATAGCATTTTGAGTGGTGTGTTTATATTTTTACATGGATTTTTGGTATTGTTCCTCTGTATGCATGTGTGCGCACGCACGTGTGTATTTTTTACTGCTGGTGTATTCAGAAGAATTCGTCTTCTATGTGTGTTGCCAGCATGTATCTGCAATATGGAGGAGAAAGATTTATTGAATATTCTTGTTGTAGTTTTTTACATATATGTTGGCATGCTGATGTTGATATGTAGTAATGTGGGTTATGTAATACTGGATGCACATTGTTGTGGATCAGTATGTGTTTCATTTCCTGCAATGAAAATTGGACGAGACATTGTTTCTTGTTGTTCATGTGTTTTTGTCTTTGTATAGGTTAGGTGTACATATGTGTCATATGAAAGTAAAAGTTAAAGGTAAAGCTATCGCTGTAACAGGCCATGGAAGCCTATAGGGTTGTGAGACATCAAGGCTCCCACATTTTTTTAGACAGTCAGCTCACAGATGGCGGCGAGGCCTGATGCACCGGCTGCTCTGTACCCCCAAGAAGATTTCAGGTACTTATTCCTGTTAGAGGCCGAATCAATTCCAGGGCTATAGCATGGCTGGAAGAATGAGGTCAATTGAAAAAACCAGTGATGACATCTGGAATTGAACTTGTAGCCTTCTGGCTTGCAGCATGATGCCTCAACCAGCTACACTACTGTGTGCCCCTATATGTGGGTATACTTACTGTAAATATGGATATTTAGTTTGTAGGGCATATATGTGCTGTGGTTGCTTTTATGTGGTCTGAGTTTTCTGAAATATGAAATATATATTGTCACGTGTTTTGCTACTGAAGACGCTTCATGTTGAATTGCTGTTAAATGTCGGTGGCTGGGCTGTGCGTGCACTGACTGTGGGTGTGATTCCCCGCTCGGTCCTCATCAGTACTACTTACAACCGGGCCTGGAAATCGCATTTGGTTTCTTAGTTGCTGCACAGGTTTTTGTTAGTTCTTCCTGGAGATTTCGTTTGTCGTGTCCAATGATCGCCAAAACGTTTTCAACTCTATGTTGGATTTTATCATCCAACTCTGCATAGATCACATTTCGGCCTTCAATTTTTCCTTGTCGGCTGTCCTGTTGGCCGCCGCCTTTTCTTGATTGGCGTCTAATTTGGCCGTTAAATCTTCTTTGTCTGTCCTATTTTCTTCAATGGCCTTTATCTCTTTCAGCATATCCTCTTTGTCTTTCTTCCTTGTGACCTCTGCTGTCACCTGATTGGTTCTAATTTCCTTCAGGAGAAGTTCCATCATCTGCTGCATCTCCATTTTGTAGCAGTAAAATACTCGATGCACAACAATTTGTGGCGTGTTTAAGTTTGTAGACAATTCTGACACCAGTGTAACGTGTTTAGTTACTGAAGATGATGTTCGGATTGTTAACTGGTTTATTTAACAACCTACAATTAACTACGATTAATTATGACACTGGTATGGGTTTACACAATTTACAAACCCTACACACAAATCTCTTCACACTGTCCTCAGTTGTATACACGTATTAATTACGATACGGGATACGATACGATACAAGTGTCACTGTATCACACACTCCCAATTATTACTCAGTTATCACAAACTGTCACTGATTATCATGCTGTATCACAAATACTAGACTGCAAATGCTCTTCCCTGGCCAACTCGTAATTCAACTCGTAGTCTGTTGCCTTGAGAACTGTCTTCGGCGGCTGTATAGTTCCCTTATAAACCCTCAGCCGGACAACGGGAAAACAGTTACATAATAGGCACCACTGTTGTCTGACGCCGTGTTTGTCTGTTACGTAATGGGTACCGCTGTTATTACCGTTGTCTCTAGCAACCACTTTTTACCTGCTTTGCTTAGCAACCGGTGTTTACTTGCTTTGCATAGCGACCAGCTTGCTGGGACTCGGCTCACTTCGGCTCTGCTCGGCATGGCACGTCACGGCTGGCGGGGAGGGAGGGCCGTCATCCATAGCGCAACACATCACAATATTGTGGTGTCTTTGATGTCGACATGATGTAAAGATTTAATTTTAGATGCTAATATGGTATTGTTTGTCATATAGTATTGGATTGTTCTGTTTGTAGTGTGTTCCCTGTGTAGCTTGTATGGGTAGTGGTAGGTGACTGACGTATATGCTAAGGGTTTGCTTTTAGGTAAGGGGAGTGGAGGAGTATGTGGTATGTTGGGTGGAAGGTGGGGATAATCTGCTTCAGTATTATTATGTGGGCTATATTTTTAGAATTGCATCAAATATGGGGTTATTTGTATATGTAAAAGTGTCATTCATTTGTTCCTTCTCTAGGGTGAGATAAATATGGAATCATTCTAATGTGTTAAGTGAACGATCTTTTGAATGTGGTGTATTTACATTGTTTGGTCTGTGGTGTTGTGTGTTGACCTTCTAATATTTGTTGGGAATATCTAAGAGTTCAGTTTGCTACTTTTCAGTGCCCATATATGTTCTTTGAATCATGTTCAAAATGCTTTCCCTGTTTGTCCAGCATGCAGGGTGCAGTTGTTACATTTTAGTTGATAAATTCTGCTATTATTGAAGGTGTCTGTTAAGGGTTCTTTTGGGGGGAAGCAATGTCTTTGTGTTGTGTTGCTGGTTTTCAAGGTTGTACGTATGTTTGTGTTTTTCAGTGATCTAGTTATGATTCTAGTTTCTTTCCTGAAGTATGTGAAGGTGGCCCATTTTTGTTTTTTGGTACAAGATGATCTTTGGCGCAGTTTGGTTTGTGAATGTTTTGCAGTATGCTTGGAGGATAATTATTATTGTGTAGAATGGTTTCTGTATGTTGTAGTTCCCATTTGCTTTTTTTTTTTTTAATGAGATAAGTGTTCAAGTAGTTTGTTAGTTGTTTCCTTTTCAGTGGGTGTATTGAATTAAATTTTGCTTGTGTATTTTCAGTGTTTGTGTTGTGAAACAGTTGTATGTCATCAACATAACAAAAGTAGTCAGTGATGTGGTGCTTTATCAAGATGTTGAAAATTGTAATATGTTCAAGATACTGGATAAATTTTTCAACTAGTATTGCCGATGTTGGTGCTGCCACAGCTAGTCAATCATTAATTCATAATATTGGTTCAAAATTGTAAATAGTTTTGTTTTAGAATTGTATTTAACAGTATTGTGACATGTTGACCCCTACCTCCCCAGCGGAACGTAGCGGTAAAGTAGCGCTCGTGTAATAGGCGAATCATCACCCCGCCACTCTCCCCGCGGTGACGTCACGAGCGGAGCCGAAGTGAGCCGAGCGGAGCCGAAGTGAGCCGAGCGGAGCCGAAGATAGCTGAGCCCCCCGCATCCTGGTAGCTATGCAACGTGCCACGCGCGGTGACGCCACGGTAACGTGGAACCGCTTCCCACTGTGACGTGGCCCGCAACAGGCATCACTGCGGATATATAAGGGAACCGCACAGCAGCTACCAGTGAGTTGGAATGTGGGCAGCCGCCGAGTTATAACGTGGCCATCGCCGAAGATAGTTCCGAGCAAGCCTACGAGAGTGTCTTATCAAGAGTTCTCCAGTCAGCCGACTACAGTTGGAGTATAGCAGCCGTCGCGGGAAGAAGAACCGGACGTGTGTGTGATTGTGTAATTGGGAGTGTGTGATACAGTGNCCTACTGTAAATGTGTAGACTACTGAACACAGAGTGATCTGATTTGCACATAGGGTTATAAAGTGTGAAACCCCGCAACAGTGGTAACAGATTAATGCGATTAGGGTTATAAAGTGTGAAACCCCGCAACTGTGTGATAATTAATTGTAGCCGTTTCTTGTAGATTGTTGAATAAACCAATTAACGATCTCTACGGCGTATTCAGTAACGAAACACGTGACAGTATTATGAGTTTTTGCTTATATTGTACTGTTATTGTCAAAGATGTTTAATGATTTCTGTAAGCTCTGGTAGGGGAATGTTTGTGTACATATTTCTGATGTTGACTGAACAGGTTTTGTTCTTTTATGTTGATCATCCCAAGTTTTTGGATGATGCTAGTGACATTTTGGATATTAAGGGCATTGGTTAACTATATTGTGTTTCTTAATAGTGATGCTAAATGTGATGCAAGTTTGTAGCTTGGGCTGTCTTTTCAGTTTTCTATAGGTCAGACTGGTTGGTGGTTTGTATGTAACTTTATTGTGCCATATATATATGTGGCTGCATTTTGTGGTTCTGTTCATTATGTTATGGCAGGTGTTAACTGATATCTTTCTGTTTTTTGTTCATGATATCTTTCAGTAATTTTTCAAAGCTGTTTTGTGAAATAAAGTCTTTGATTTTTTTTGTTATAATTGTCTTCATGTAGTATAACTAATGTGTTACTTTTAGCTGCTTTTTTATTTTTAGGTGGTGTAGGTGTTTATGAATAAGCATTTCTTTTATATTATAGATTGTCTTTTACTTGTATACATGTATTTCTAATTTTTATTTTGTAGATGATATGTGTATGTGTGTTGCTTCTTTTATTGTGAGTTTTTGTATGTTGTCTGCTGTTATTTATCATATATATATTTGTTTGTTGTCATATAGTTATTTATTGCAGTGTCTGCTTCTATTGCTAGAGTTTTAGTTCAGTTTTGAAGTTTGTAATGGTTGTATTTTAGGCCTTTGCTCACTAGTTGTATTTCATTATTTGCAAAGGTAGTGTTGGGTCAGTTTTCAGCACATGTGTAAAAGGTATTTGTATTGTTTAAAGCGTGTGTCGTAACTGATTTGTCTTGTAGGTTTTTATTTTATTGTTAAGGTCTTCATACTTTACTTTGCCAATCTTATCTTTGAGCCAATTGTCTAGATCAGGGGTCTCCAAACTTTTTGATCCGTGGGCCACATTAGGTAATTCAGCACTTTCAACGGGCTGGATAAAGTGAGAAATTAATAGCTCTAGGTATATGAGTTTTATTGAAAGCACAGAATTTCATAAACTAAATACAAAGTATGTGAGAATAAATTATCGGATATTAACGACAACAGACAGTAGCAGCAAATGCTCATATTTTCATCACAAATTATAATAAAACAATTAATGTGAATGATGGAACTCTTTTTGCATTCTTAAAATCGGATTAAATTGAGGTTCAAATTTTGAAACACTAATCATAAGTATCGACTTTTAATGTTCATTGGATAAATTTGCCCTGTATTTCAACTTGATGTACTTCATCTGGGAAAAAGTTTGTTCACACAGATATGTCGTCCCAAAAATGGAGATAGGCAAATTTCTTTAAATTTGGAAATTGCTCTGAGTTCAGAAATTATAAAATTCGATCAAATTTCCTTCCTTGTTAATATGATAATTTTCCTGAAGTTCAATAATTTCCATTTGAATTTGACTTGGGACATCTGCAGCATCACAGTCAAATGGATTTTGAAACAATCTAATTTCCTGAGCACTGGAATCCAAATCAGCAATTCGCTTCTGAAATTGTTCCTTCAAATCTGAAACGACTAAATTTACAAACAAGGAAGGAAATTATGCTTCACCCTTTTTATGCATCTCTGCACAGTATATCATATGAACAAAGTTTTTTTCACTTGGCTTTCCAGAAGTATCAGCTATGCTCTGAATGCCTTGATAAGTGCAAATAAATCACAGACTTAAGTTATTTTCACCGTGCAACTTTAAATTCAAATGGTTCATATGGTTCACCAAATCAGCAAAAAATGCTAATTTCCAAAGCCCCTCGGTATCTAATAAAAGTGATTCGTGATGGTTTTTCTTGGTAAGAAATATATCAATTTCATTCCTGAGCTGAAAGAAGCGCGAAATAACCTTTCCACAGCTAAGCCATCGAACTGCAGTATATGTCAGGTCAGTAAGCTCAGAAACACATTTACCAGTACTCATTGGAAAATTAGTTCAGTTGGTGCATTTCTGCACAATTCTTTCGTGGGCCGGATAAAATCACATTGTGGGCCGCATGTGGCTCACGGGCCGTAGTTTGGAGACCCTTGGTCTAGATAATGTGGGACCCTCAAGGTCTCACAACCCTATGGGCCATCACGGCCTGGTACAGGGATAGCTTTTCTTTACTTATGTGATATGTGAATTTTTACAACTTTACATACTGTAGATTTTACATTTTACAATGCCAGTTAGGAAACTTTAGGGAACTTTATCTGTACTGACCAGAAGTGGATCCATATGAAACTATATTTTTATCAAAAACATAATATATTTGGTATTTTACATGTATACACCTGAAGATTGTCAGTTAAGACCGAAATATATGGCGTTTTTAATTTTATATACTAAACAGATTGACTCATATCACATGCTGTGTGACAATACAGGAACCCAGACTGTATATTCTAAACAGGATGCAGCGCATAAAAATATTACTGCTAATGTCAGTCTGCTCAGTGATAAGAGTTCAATTTAATTTGGTGAAAGCCTAATTCTGTTAAGTGTTGTAAATTTTTATACGTAGATGATTTGAAGGAATTGTTCTGTGTAATTCAGCTTCTGAAGTTAGGAATGGATGAAAGTAAATACTCTTCAGACAGTTCACAGTTGGGAGCTAATGCTGAATAAGAAGTATACATGTAGTAAGCACAAAAGCTTGGCATGAACTTTAGTTCAGAAGGGAATAATGACAGTATTAACTGCTGGGTTTTATGTAAGTACATTGCAGCATGTCCAAATAGTTTGTCAGAATAACTACTTTTTATATACCGGAAAGAATTATGTTTATTCAGTCTATCTTTTATTCCAGTTATATTTGGATATAAGTAGGTATGCAGGTTAAATGGCATGAAATATTCCTCAATTTCTGTGTATTCTAGATATGATAAAAACTGCTGAGGTATTGATTTTCTGGTGTTTTATCGCAGATAGTTCTCTGAGACATCCTCCATGGGAGCCATTAGGGAATACTTGTACAATGTCAAGAAAGCGTCATAGAGAAGACGACAGTTGTACCGAAACTACATCAGCTCCAGCTTTACCTCTACAAATGGTAAATTCCTGTTGTTATCATCTTTGTATTGTGTAATTTAAGAGTAATATTATTTAGTAGATTCAATAAAAGGAAAGCAGAATGCAACTATAATAGAGAGAATAATCTATATGCAGTAAGCGATTGGGCATGAGTGAAGACATAGCATATAAGTAAACGAAAATAAGCTATACAAGTTTTTTTTAATCCATTGCAAAATTCCGTTGATCCAATCTAGGCTACACATACGCCTGATGGATATAGAACCAGTCACAGACAAGTAACTAAAATACACATGCTATGAAAATAAGCATAGGTCAGATCAAACAATAAACCAAACTGTTTATCGTCTTGCTTTAGCATTAAACATAACAACATATTAAATTTAATATTGTAAAAAATCATCATACCAAAAGGTAGATGATAACATATTTATGCCAAAATAATGCACCTATGATACATAAAACCTTAATAATTCACATTAAAATTAGTAACTACTATTAAAAAAAATCCTTCAGTGAATAAAAATAATTCAGTAGAAGGTAGTTTTTTAGAGTATTTTTAAATTGATTCTTATTATCAGACAAATTTTTTTATGCAAGGAGGTAAGTGATTAAATGCCTTTATACCTATATAATAAACGCCATTTTTATAGACAGACAACCTTGGTTGTGAAGGGTAAAAATTATTTTTACCTCTGGTGTTGATATCATATAACTCTGAATTTGTTTTAAATAAGGAGATAGTATCAATTACAAAAATTAGTAATGAAAATATATACTGAGAATAAAACGGTAATATATCTAGTTTCTTAAACAATTCCCTACAGGAATCCCTATTTCTGGAATTTTTAATAATTCTTATGGCCTTTTTTTTTTTTTGTAGTTTAAATATATTGATACTATAAGGGGAATTCCCCCAGAAGATTGTACCATATGACATAACTGCATGAAAATAAGAACAGTAAATCATCCTTAGTGATTCATGGGACACAAAGGGTCTTAAAGATCTAATAGCATAACATGCTTTGCTTAATTTAACCATAAGTCCATCAGTATGATGCTTCCATTACAAGGAGCTATCAACAGTAATACCTATACTCGTAAATGGAGTATTTGTATTGTTAATAATATATTTATTATTATAACTAATATCTAATTGAATTATTTGACTATTAGTGGTTCTAAATTGTATATACTGAGTTTTGTTATAATTTAATGACAACAGATTGATATTAAACCACTCATTCAACTGTCTGAAAGAGGAAATAATATCCTTCTTAAAATTTACTAAATTAGGAATACTAGTAATAATGCTGGTATCATCAGCAAACATAACTGGCTTAGAGTTATAATTAACTACTTTAGGTAGGTGAGTTATGTAAAAAAGAAAAAGCATTGGTCCAAATATAGATCCCTGGGGCACTCCATGTTTAATCTTACCCCATTCTGAAGAAGTATAAGAATATGTTAATTTATCATCAGTGAGAACTCGCTGATACCTATCACTGAGATATGATTTGATTAGAGCATATGCATTGCCTACAGTTCCATAGAATTTCAGTTTCTTCATTAATAAATCGTGATTCATGCAATAAAAGGCTTTCTCGAGGTCACAAAAATACCTCCCACAAGCTCCTTATTATTTAAGGCCTGTAAAGTATCATTTAGAAGTATAAACGTTGCCTTTCCTGTTGAGGAATTGCTTCTAAACCCAAACTGTTAACTAGATAATATAGCATTATTTATTACATGTTTAGAAAGTCTTATATATATCATCTTTTAAAAAATTTTAGAAAAGGAAGTTAGTAATGATATAGACCTATAATTTTTTATATCTTTATTGTCGCCTTTTTTAAATAATGGCTTAACCACAGACAACAAAGTTCAGAAACTTCAGAAAGTATTTATTCATAACTAAATGAAAGTGGGAGAAACATTTGGAGGGTTACACCCCCACTTGAAGTTATGGATGACAGAAGCATCAAATTAGAAAATTGATTCAGAGAAGAGAAAAGATAGCAAAAATAGTACTGGTGCAATAGTGGTTGTATTGGCAGTAGCAACAGTAGTCGAAGTGATTGAAACTAATGCATGAAGTTAAGTATGTTAATAATCTGTGTCCCACAGGAACTGAATGTTATGTGGACACAGATTTATGCATTATAATGAAGCGCAACTCAGTAAACTTTACCTTGTCTTATTTTATAAAGATATGGAAAAATTCGTACAAAGTATCACTTATAATTAAAATAATCCAATAAAATCCATAAAAGCAGAACTCTGTATAAATTAAGATTTTTCAAACAATATAGTACAGGTCATCCTGGATTTCCGCCTTTCATTCATTCATTCATTCATTCATTCATTCATTTCCTTTATTTTCCATATATCTATACAGGCAAAGAACCTAAGATGTGGAAATAGTCAAACAGTGGAAGTAGCCCTAGTGACCAGAGATAAAATTACTCTTAAGTACAGTATTATTGCTCTGGTCTTTGCTTGTATGTGTTATTTTTGGAGTTGGAGTCACCTGTTTTCTTGTTTTTTGGTATTAATTTTCATCATTCAGTATAGCAACTGACCACAGGCTGAATGACTTAGGGGTCAGAGTTCAAGTCTTGGTGGGAATAAGATTTTTCTTCTTTCCACGTCAACCAGGCCAGTTCTGGGGCCCACTCAGCCCTCTATCCAATGGGTAATGAGGACTTTTTCTCCAGGGGTGAAGTGGCCAGAGAGTGAAGCTGACCACTTAGCTCAGCTAATGCCTAGGTCAATAACATGTGTATCTGTATGTTCACTCCCCAATATGTCTTCATGGCATAATGCTTACTTAATTAGTTAAGCACAGGGACTGTACCTTACCTTTCAGTGTATTTATAAATATAATTCTTTATATGAGGGCTGTTCAGAAAGTAACTTGCTGTGAGCTGTTTACAAAACAAGCAATTAGAAAAAAATATGTACATACATAAGCTACTTCTCAGTGTAGTCGCTGCTAGAATTGAAACACTTGTACCGGGGAATAAGTTTTTGTATGCGAGAAGTCTACTACCTGTGAGCTCAGTCATGTTTAGACACCTTCCATCAACTGCTCAGCATTGTTGAAGTGTTGTGATCCCACCCAGTTGTTCAGGTAGGTGAACAGGTGGTAGTTGCTCAGGGCTAGGTCAGGGCTGTAAGGAGGGTGGTAAGACAACTCCCAGTTCAATTGCTTCAGCAGTGCTCAATTGTGAGAAGCTGTATATGGACACACATCGTCATGTAGGAGCACGACACGGGATGTCAGCATTCCATGCCTTTTGTTCTAAATGGCCCTGTGCAGTTCTTTTAGTGTTTTGCAGTACACTTATAACATTATTGTGGCCTCTTGTTGCATGAATTCCACCATCAGCACTCCTTTCCTCTCCTAGAAAACAGTTTATGTCTGCTTTCTGGCAATGTTTAAACAATCTTTTTTGGCTTGTTTGGTGAATGTGTGCATGTACTGCTTTGTCTGCTCTTTGGTTTCAGAATTCATAAATGAAACCCAGGTTTCACCATCTGTTACTTGTGCTGTGTGATTGAGAAATTCATTGCCATATTTGTGGTGTTGCTCTACAAATGTCAAAGCCAAAGAAATTCTCTGCATTTTGTGTGCACCCATGGACATTTTCAGAACCCATCTGTGCAGTACTTGTGATAGCCTAGTCTAACTGTGATAATCTCATAGAGAAGAGTGCATGAAATTTTTGGAAATTCCAAGATTTTGCCCTGCATTCTGTTGATGGGACAGCAACATATACTGTGTTTTTCTCTTCTGTCTACTTCTAGACCAACGTCCTTATTAGCATCAGTTAGAGTTTCTGTGCTTTTCTGTATGGTATCTATATTTTCTCCAGTAAATTCACATCATCAGCAAAGATGAGCAGCTGATATTTCCCATTTAATTTTATTTCTGCCTATGAGTAGTTCTCATGGACCTTCTAAAGCAAATTTGAAAATCAGTGACAATAAAGAATGTCCTTGTTTTAGACCGTTTTGGAGAGGAAAATTATCATACAAATGTTTACATATACAGACTTTACTATGTGTTTTATTTAAACACATTTTAATCAGTGTAACTATTTCATGGGTACACCAAACTCTGAGGAAACTGAATCATAGGCTTTCTTGAAGTCTGTGAATTGCTGATGTTCTGTCTCATTGTACTCCCATCTTTTCTCTAGTATCTGATGAACACAAAAAATATGATCAGTAGCTGTTTGAAACACGCATTGATTGTTCCCAATATTTTCATCCATATGTGAACTTAACCTTGAGAGAAGGTTATTGGATAAAATTTTGTATGAAGTTGATAGCAGTGATATCCCATGATTAACCAACCATTTGTTTTCATTTCTCATCACATGATGCCTCCATCAAGTATTGTTCATCAGGTCAACAATTTACAAATGAAAACAGATTAATGAATCACATACTATAATTTTATTACACTGGTAGTTGGGTGCAATTCCAATGAGTTATTGCACATGTGAATTGCACCCAACTACCAGTGTAATAAAATTACAGTATGTGATTCATGTGGGGGCATGCGGTAGCATAGGTGGTTGAGGCACGATGCTGCAAGCCGGAAGGTCACGGGTTCAAGTCCCGATTAGGTCTTTGGAATTTTTTCAGTTGACATAATCCTTCCAGCTGCACTATGGCCCTGGGGTCGACTCAGCCTCTTAACAGAAATGTGTACCAGGAATTAAATAATTTTCCAGGGGAGTAAAGTGAGGCTGGCATGTAAGGCTGACAACCTTACTGCCATCTTTGAGCTTATTGTCTAGACTGAGATGGAATTTACGCAAAGATGCTTATTTTATTCTGTTTATTAGACACCTGAAAATGAAGAGTACGTTTCTAAAGGATGTAATTCCAGAAATAACGTTTTTGATATCATTTGAGTTAGTACACCATACCAGGTGTATTGATACAATGTCGGTGTGAATTCAATTATTTATAGCATTTTCAAATATAATTTCAATGCAGAGATGC